TTTGTGCCACAAAAGAAACCACAAAAAACAAAAATGCAAACTACAGAATGGAAAAAAAAATATTTGCATACCATACATCTGAGAAGGGGTTAATCTCCAAAATTTACAAAGTGCTTATACAATCCAACAACAACAACAAAAAAACAATCCAATCAAAACTGGGCAAAGGACTTTAATACACTTTTTGAAAGAAAAAATTCAGATGGCCTACAGACATATGGAAATTGTTCAACATAACTTATATAAGGGAAATGCATATTAATGCCATACTGAGATGCTACCTCACCCATGACAGTGGTCCATATAAAGAAGAAATGAATCAACAAATGTTGGTGGGAATGCAAGTTGGTACAACTTCTCTGCAAAATGGCATGGAGATTTCTTAAAAAAATTAAAATGGAAATTCTCTATGACATGGCAACACCTCTATTAGGTATTTATCCAAATAATATAAAAACTCTAATAAAAAAGATTTATCTATACCTTGTATATAGCAGCAAGATCCATAACTGCCATGTCATGGAACCAACCCAAGTGCCCTTCAACAGACAAATGGCTAACGAAATTTTGTAATATATATTCAGAGGAATACTACACAGCTTTGTAAAAAGATGAAAGAGTGGCATTTGGGACAAAATGGATGCACCTGAAGATGATTATGTTAAGTGAAATAAGTCAAAAAGTGAAAGACAGCTATTGGATAGTTCCACTCATCTGTGGAATATAAATAATGAAAAGACATACACAAGCAATGTATAGCAGGAATAAATCTTAGAACTCAGAAAACACACACCCCCCCCCAACAGAGCTTCAAAATACATGAAGCAAACACTGACAGAATTGAAGGAAAAAACATACAAGCTCTTAGTAACAGTAGGGGAGAACAATACATTTTCAGTAGTGGATAGACCATTCAGAAATAAGATCAATAAGGAAATGGAAAATTTGAACAAAACTATAAACCAAGTAGACCTAATAGACATATACTGAACATTTCAACCCCAAATACCAGATTTTTCTCAAGCGTACATGGAACATTCTCCACAACAGACCATATTTTAGGCTACAAAATGAATCACCATAAATTTTAAAGTATTAATGGAATGAAACTATAAATTGTAACAAAAGGAAAACTAGAAAATCCACAAATAGGGGCTTCCCCTGGTGGTGCAGGGGTTAAAGTCTCAGTGCTATCAAGTTATCAAAGCCACTGTGGCATGAGTTCAATCCCTAGCCAGGGAACTAACCCACATGGCACAGCAGACCTCCCCTGTCTCTCCTGCTGATCCCCTCAGCAGTGTATTTCAGTAGATCTGCCTGTTCTGCTTCTTACTCTGTCTCTGGTGAATCCTCTAATCACCCTGCACCTTTGGCCTAACACCCCAGTTCTTGTATGCATAAATAGATGAAAATAAATCTTTGAAAAATTCAAAAATAGGTAGAAATTAAGTAATATACTCTGAAACAATTAGTGGTTCAAAGAACAAATTAGAAGTGTGATTTCTTTGAGATGAACAAAAACAAAAGCACAACATACTTAAACTTATGGGATGCAGCAAAAGCAGTACTCAGAGAGAAAATTATAGATATAAATGCCTACATTAAAAAATAAGGAAGATCTCAAATCAGTAACCTAACTTCACATTTTAACAAAGCAGGAATAAAAGAAAAAAACAAACCCAAAGCTCACAAAATGATAGAAATCATAAAGTTTGGAACAGAACGGGTGTCATGGAGCATTTTGCTGGCACAGTCTGTGCCCTGGGGGCCTCTTTCTTCCCCAACAGGGCAACCGGTGATGTGGGGAGAGAGGCCACTGGCAACCTTGTGCATCTTACCCTCAAAAAAAAAAAAAAAGATTTGAATAGAAATAAATGAAATAGAGGATAGAAAAACAAGAGAAATCAGTAAAATCAAAAGTTAGTTTCTTTGAAAAAAAAGATCAACAAGATAGGGAAGTATCTAGTTAGACTGACAAGGAAGAGTGAAGACATAATACCTAAAATTAGAAATGAAAAAAGGAACATTAATGCAAACCTTGCAGAAATAAGAGTGTAAAGATTGTGATGAACAACTGTATGCCAACAAACTAAATAAACTATATAAAAAGGTCAAGTTCATAGAAGCACATAAATTACCTAAACTGAATTAAGAAGAAAGAGAATCAGAACTGACCGATAAGTATAGAGATTGAATCAGCAATCAAAAGGTTTCCAAAAAATGGGTCTCCCTGGTGGCGCAGCGGTTGAGAGCTGGGTTGCGAAGCTGCCCGCAGCCTCTGCAGCGCTGGTTCGATCCCAGGGTGAGGGTCCCACATGGCGCGCAAACCTCTCCTGCCTCCCGCTGCTCCCCTCAGCAGTGTACTTTGGTCCTTCTGCCTGCTCTGCTCCCTGCTCTGGCTCTGGTGAATTCTCTCACCCTCCCGCGCTTCTGACTGTACCCACTGCTTGTATAAATAAATAAATATATTAAAAAAAAAGGTTTCCAAAAAAGAAAAGCCCAGCCACTTGGCTTCATTGGTGAATTCTACTGAGTAAAGAAAAACACCAATCCTTTTCAAACTCTTTCAAAAAATAAAAAATAAAAGAGCAGGGGCTGTGATCTAAGCACTCTATAAGACTGTGATACCCGGGCCTCCCCAGTGGCGCAGCTGTTGAGTGCTGGGTTGCAAAGCTGCCCGCAGCCTCTGCAGTGCTGGTTCGATCCCCCGCCACCGGGCGAGGGTCCCACATGGAGCGCAGACCTCTCCTGCTGCCCACTGCCCCCCTCAGCAGTGTATTTTGTCAGTCTGCCTGTTCTGTTCCCCGCTCTGGCTCTGGAGAATTCTCTCACCCTCCCGTGCTTCTGACTGTACCCAGTGCTTGTATAAATAAATAAAATCTTAAAAAAAAAAAAAAGACTGTGCTACCCAACTACTGCAAAAGAAAACAGATTTATATGTTGTTAGAGAATATTAAAAGTTACTTAAGGTTCAATGACAAACATATATAGCTTTTTCTATAAAGAAAATAATGTAATCTATCCCATAAATAAAATGAAGGAAAATACATGAACATCTCAGTTGATGAAGGAAAAACGTGACAAAATCAAACATCCATTCAAGATAAAAACACCCAGAGATCTAGAAAGTCACCAAACAATTGACCAATATGATAAAAGGTGCTTATGAAAACCTACTGCAACTATCACACTCAATAGTGAAAGACTGAATTCTTTCCACATGATGAAGAATGAGATATGGATGTTTACTTCCACCACGACTATTCATCATTGTACAATCCAGAGCAATTAGGTAAGAAAAAGAAAGAAAAAACATTGAAATTGTAAGGAAATATTTGTCGATAACCTTATAATATGTATAAAAAATCCTAAAGAATCTTAAAAAATGAAACTATTAGTGCCAATAATAGAATGGAGTAAAGCTGCAGGATAGAAGAAAGACAAATATCAGTTGTGTTTCTGTACACTAACAATGAACCATCTATAAACAAAATTAAGAAAATAATTTAATTTATAATAGCATCAGAAAGAACAAGGTAAGTAGAAATAAGTTAATCCTTGGTAATATAAAGTCATAAAAATTTTTAAATGTAAAAAGCTGACCCTTTGAAAAGATCAATTAAATTTATAAAATGCCAGCAAGAATGACAAAGAAAAAAAGACTATGCTACAAAGTACAAATACCAAGAATGTAAAGGGAGATTTCACTAAAGACCTCACAGACAGGAGCCTCCTTGGTGGCGCAGGGGTTAAAGTATCAGTGTTATCAATCTCCAGCCACTGTGGCATGAGTTTGATCCCCGGCCAGGGAGCTGACCCACATGGCACAGCAGACTTCTCCTGTCTTGCCCGCTTCTCGCCTCTGCAGTGTATTTCAGTGGATCCACCTGTTCTGCACCCCACTCTGTCTCTGGTGAATCCTGTCGCCCTCTGCACCTCTAGTTCTTGTGTGCATAAATAAATAAAATAAATAAATAAAAGATCACACAGACATTAAAAGGATAATAGGGTAGTACCCCAAACAACATTATGCCCATAAGTTCTCTTACTTAGATGAATTTCTCAAATGACACAAAGTATTAAATGTCATCTAATACGAAATAAATGACCTGAATAATCCTGTGTCTAGTAGAGAAAATTAATCCATACTTAAAACCTGAAAAAGATGTAAGGAAAAAAAAAAAAAAAGGAATCTCCAGGCCTGCGTGGTTGCATTCACAAATTTTACATTCTTGCACAACCACTTCCAGAATATAGAAGAGGAGTGAAACTTTCCAAACTCATTCTTTGAGGACAACATTGCTTTGATACCAAACATAGAGTATAAGAAAACAAAATTACAGACCAATATTCCTCATAAATACAGATACCAAAATCCTCAATAGAAACACTACTGGAGAAGAGAATGGAGCAACAGATTCAAAAAACTCCGAGACAAAAAATGCTCAACCAAGAATACTTTATCCTGCAAAGTTCTTCTTCCTCTATGAGGGAAAAATAAGGACCTTCTCAAACAAACAAAATCTTCAGAAATTCACTTCTACTAAACCCCCACTCCAAGAAATATTACAAGAAGCCTTAAAATCTAAACCAGGACCTCCCTGGTGGCACAAGGGGTTAAGCACTGCACTATGAAGCAGTCCACAGCCTCTGCAGCATGAGTTCAATCCCTGGCCGGCCAGGGAGCAACCCACATGGCGAGGCAGACCTCTCCTGTCTCTCCCGCTGCTCCCCTCAGCAGTGTATTTCAGCCAGTCTGCCTGTTCTGTTTGTTCCCTGCTCTGTCTCTGGTGAATCCTCTCACCCCCAGGCATCTCTGGTGTGTACCCCAGCTCTTGTATGCATAAATAAATAAATCTTTAAAAAAAATCTAAACCAATAGAGGAATAAACAGGAAGAACTGTGCAAGGTACTGAACAGAACCACAAAACAATGAACAAAATGGCAATTACAGACTTCCATGTGTCAATAATCACCCTAAACATATAGACTGAACTCACCAATCAAAAGACACAGAGTAGAATGCTGGATTAGAAACAGAATCCAACTTTCTGCTATCTCTGGGAAATACACCTAAGTGGAAAAGATAAAGACAGATTGAAAGTAAAGGGTTGGAAAACAATTCTACAAGCAGATGGACCCAAAGAGAAGGCAGGTATAGCTGTATTTATATCAGACAAAATAGACTTCATGCTAAAAATGTGATGAGACATAGATGGACACTATATACTGATCAAGGAGACAATACACCGGGATATATCATTCATTAATATATACTCACCAAATGAAGGAACACCAAACACAGTAGACAATTACTATCATCTCTGAAAATAGACATTAGAGAAAATACATAAGTAGCAGAAGACCTCAACACCCCACTCTCACAAAGGGACAAATCAAAGATACAAAAAGTTAACAAGGACACAGTAGCCCTAAAAAAAGACCTAGAACACAAATGAGCCTAACAGACATCGATAGGACACTGCAAACCCCCCCAACCATCCCCCCCCAAAAAAACCTAAATACACATTTTTCTCAAGCACACATGATCATTCTCCAAGATTGATCACAGACTGTGTCACAAGACACACATCAAAAAATACATGAAGACCGAAATCATACCAACTATCTTCTCTGACCATAAAGACATCAAACTAGAAACCAGCTATGAAAAGATAGCAAGAAACTCCCCCACTACATGGAGACTAAACAACATGCTACTGAAAGACCACTGGATTAATGAGGAGATCAAAGAAAAAATTTAAAAAATACCTTGAGACAAATGGCAGTGACACAAATTTCGAGAAAATATGGGATATAGCGAAGCAGTAATAAAAGGAAAGTATATAGTAATGTGGGCTGATCAAGAAACAAGAAAAAATCCAAAGAAACAACCTAACCTTCTATCTCAAAAAACTAGAAAAAAATAACAACAACAAAAAACCCCCAAAAGCCAGTAGAAGAAAGGAAGTAATAAAAATTCAAGCAGAAATAAATGAAATAGAAATAAAGACAATTCAAAAGATCAGGGAAATCGGGCCTCCCTGGTGGCATGACGGTTGCAGCACAGCACTGTGAAGCTGTCCACAGCCTCTGCAGTGTGGGTTCGATTCCGGTGGGCCAGGGAGATACCCACATGGTGTGGCAGACCTCTCCTGTTTCACCCGCTACTCCCCTAAGCAGTGTATTTCAGTCAGTCTGCCTGTTCTGTTCTCTGCTCTGTCTCTGGTGACTCCTCCCACCCTCCTGCAGGTCTGGCCTGTACCCCGGTTCTTGTACAAATAAATAAATCTTTAAAAAAAATCAATGAAATCAAAAGATGGTTCTTTAAAAAAGTAAAGAAAATACACAAACCTAGAGCCAGGCTCACAAAGATGAAAAGGGAAAAAACTCAAATAAATAGGATCATAAATGAAAGAAAAAATAACAACAGACACAGCAGAAATCCAGAGGTTAGTCAGAGATTGTTATGAACATTTATATGCAAACAAGTTCACAATCTAGAATTATACAATCATCCAAAGCTGAATAAAGAAGAAACAGAAAACCTAAATAAACCAATTACAAGCACAGAAATTAAAACCATAATCAAAACCCTCCTCCAAAACAAAAGTTCAGAACCAGATGGTTTCACAAATGAGTTCCACCAAACGTTCAAAGATTAATTAGTGACTATCCTATAAAAACTGTTTCAAAAAACTGAGAAAGAAGGAATACTAAAAAATACATTTCACTAGTCCAACATTGCATTAAAATCAAAACAAAACAAAGACAAAACAAAAAAAAAGAGAACTACCAGCCAATCCTCCTAATGAACACAAATGCAAAATTCCTCAATAAAATCTAGGCAAAACAAATTCAACAATGCATCAAAAGGATAATACACCGCAAACAAGTGGAATTTATTTCAGGGATACAAGGATGGTTCAACATCCGAAAATCAATGAATGTAATTCAATATATCAGCAAAAAGAAAAATAAAAACCATATGATCATATCAATTGATGCTGAAGAAGGATTTGATAAACTCTAAATCAATTTATGATGAAGGACTTTGAAATACTAGGGATAAAAAGGACATAACATAATAAAAATCATATACCACAAACCCACAGGCAACACCATTCTTTTTTTTTGAAAAGATTTATTTATTTATACAAGCACTGGGCACAGTCAGAAGCACAGGAGGGTGAGAGAATTCACCAGGGAACAGAACAGACAGACTGACGAAATACACTGCTGAGGGGAGCTGCTGGGGGCAGGAGAAGTCTGTGCACCATGTGGGACCCTTGCCGGCGGCCGGGGATTGAACTGGCGCTGCAGAGGCTGTAGGCAGCTTCGCAGCCCAGTGCTCAATCGGGGAGGGCCACCAGAGGAGGCCCAGGCAACATCATTCTTAATGGTGAAAATAGAAAGCCTTCCCTTTAAGATCTAGAACAAGACAAGGATGTCCACTCTCACCACTGCTTTTCAATATAACACTGGAAGTCTTAGCTCGAGCAATTAGGCAAGAGAAAGACATACAAGGAATCCAAATAGGGAAGGAAGTAAAATTATCATTGTTTGCAGTTGATATGATAATATATTCAAAGAGAGAACACTAAAAACTCCATGGAAGAACTAATTAAAATAAATCAGTTTAGGAAAGTAGCAGGTTACAAAATCAACACACAAAAATTCAGTAGTCTTCATCTATGCAAACAATCATTCTAAAGAGGAAGAAATTAAGGAAACTACCCCATTTATAATTGTACCCCAAAAATTAAATGCCTGGGAATAAACCTAACAAAGATGGTGAAAGATCCATACAAAGAAAATTACAAAACATTGTTAAAAGAACTAGAAGACACAAAGAAATGGAAAGACATTCCCTGCTCCTGGTTTGTAAGAATTAATATTATCAAAATGGCCATCCTACCAAAAGCAATTTACAGATTCAAAGCAATTCCAATAAAAATCTCAAGGACATTCTTCAAAATGAAGAGACACTTTACTAAATGGGAGAAAATATTTGTACACCATTCAACTGATAAGGGACTGATATTAAAGATCTACAAAAAGCTTACACAACTCAATAAAAACAAAACAAATCTAGTCAAAAAATGGGCAGAAGACCTAAAACAACACTTCTCCTAAGAAGAAATGCAAATGGCCAACAGCTTTACGAAAAAATGTTCAACATCACTAATTATGAGGAAAATGCAAACCAAAACCACAATGGGATATCACCTCACACCACTGACAATGGCCCATATTTAAAAAAAAAAAAAAACTAGCAAGAACAAAGGAACCATCTAACCATCTTTTACACTCCTGGTAGGTGTATAAACTGGTCTAAAAACTATGGAAATCTGTGTGGAGGACCCTTAAAATACTTAAAATGGATCTACCATATGACCCAGCAATTTTGCTCCTAGGAATCTACCCAAAGGACACAAAAACATTAGTTCAAAAGGAAACCTGCATTCCTATATTTTTACAGCACTATTTACAATAGTAAGATATGGAAACAGCCTAAATGCCTCTCCAAACAAATGATCAAAAAAGATAAACTCACGCCATTTGTCCCAACATGGATAGAGCTGGAAAGGACTATGCTAAGTGAAATAAGTCAGAAGAAGAAAGAAAAAATACTGGATGATTTCACTTATAGGTGGGATACAGGGCAACTGAACAAAGGGTCAGGAAAAAGAAAACTTGCAGGCAAACCACTAGATCTGAGGCATACAGCAGGGGAGGGGAAAGGGTCAAACAGGAGGGAAGAGCACAAAGGACTATAGTAACTGTTCATGGTTGCAGTGGTGGTGGAAGAATTTTGGGTATTACCATTGAGGGGAGAAATCAATTATTGTACAAAAATGAGCAATGATATAAGAAATAAAAAAATTAGGAAACAATGATAATTGAAATTTTAAGAAGACTAAATATGTTCTCATATCATGTGCTCATATCATGCACACAGATTAGAAGACTCAATATACCTAAGATGTCAATTCTCCTGCAGTTGTAGAAAAGTTTGCTAGTTCCTTAAAGAGCTAAACATGGAATTACCATATGACCCAGCAATTCTATTTCTAAATATATGCCCAAGAGATATGAAAATACGTATCTACATAGAAACCTGCACAAAAATAACTATAGCAACATCATCTATAACAGTTAAAAGGAGGAAACAACCCAAATTCCCATTAACAAATGATGGATAAACAAACAGTACATACATGCAATGGAATACTATTCAGCGATAAAAAGGAACAAAATATTAATACATGCTACAATTTAGATGAACCTTACAAACATGCAAGTACAAGTAGCCAGACACAAAAGGTCACATATTATATGATTATTTTATATAATAAATCCTTAATAGGCAAATTTATAGAGCCAGAAAGCAGATTAGTGGTCACCAGAGTTTAGGGGTTGGCAGACATAAGGAACAATAGATATGGCACGTCTTTTTGGTGTGATGAAAATGTCTTGTAAACAGAGGTGGTGGTTATACAATATTGTGAATGCACTAAATGCCACTGAATTATACAATTTAAAATAGTTAAATAGGGGCCTCCCCAGTGGCGCAGCAGTTGGGCGCTGGGTTGCGAAGATGCCCGCAGCCTCTGCAGCGCCAGTTCCATCCCCGGCTGCTCCCCGGCCACCGGAGGAGGGTCCCACATGGCGCGCAGACCTCTCCTGCCACCTGCTGCTCCCCTCAGCAGTGTACTTCGGTCCTTCTGCCTGCTCTGCTCCCCGCTCTGGCTCTGGTGAATTCTCTCACCCTCCTCCGCTTCTGACTGTACCCAGTGCTTGTATAAATAAATAAATAAATCTTTAAAAAAATAAAATAAAATAGTTAAATATATTTGTGAATTTCTTTGTTCCCCAAATTTTATTAATTTGTCAGTTGTTAACATAACTATATCATTTAGAGGTACATTTTTCACCGCAACAAAAAATAAAGATGCCAATTCTCCCCTAATTAATCTATAGATTTTAACAATATCCCAATCAGAACTCCAGAAGAAATTTTTGTGGATTTAGACAAACTGATTCTATAATATACATGGAAAGGCAAATGT